CTGATTCATATGAATAATCTTCATCAACATTTGTTGGGTCTGAATCTGTTATATATGCTTGTTGCAGTTCTACTGTATTATGGGATGGAGATGATGAACTTCATTCAGTTGGCTTGAGCTGGAATTTTTGAAGCCAGTCATTTGACCACATTCTCCATAATTAATTATTCTGTGAATGACTGAACTGTTCATAGAATTGACCTGCAGTATACTGACATTTTGTATTTAGTGTCTGAAATGTGACAGTTCTGTATGGAGAACAGTATGTGAATGTTATGTTATATTGATCAAATCAATTGACTTCTTTGTGAGCCAGTAGTTCACAAAAGACATTCATTGTTGTGTCTTCTAGTGATTCATCTATTGTGACTCATAGAGAAGTTTCAAGATGATGCCATGCATGCAGTACAACTGCAAATTCTAAAGTGGCTAGTTCACATTGATGAGCTGCTGTCATGATATCAGTGAGATAGAATGCTGTTGACTTGCTGTTGTGAGCATCTGCAACTGTATAGTGAATGCTATTAAATTTAGATTGTGCTTGCACTGATGATATCCAGAAACATTTTTCAAGAGCAAAGCATCAATTCTGAATGTCAACTGAATCATGAACAAGAGCTTTGTGTGCTAGATCATTTAATTCAACTGTCCATCAAATCATGACATTTTCACAGAGACATGAGTGCAATTCAGCATCTATCTGCAGTGGATCTTTAATGGCAGCTGCAGTCTTAATTCTGATGGTAAAAAGATATACATCTTTAATTCAGATCTTTTCTTCTCAGTCTGCAATGTCTTGGCCTCAATGGTGTGGCATATTCAGATAGAAATAGCCAATATCAGTGATTTTTCAGCTTTGCTGAAATGCATGATTGCTTGTAGTAGAATGTTGGGCTGATAAAACTGCTGTTGAAAGAGAAGTAGTTGGTTCTCTGTGTAAAACTGCTAATTCTGAATGTATAATTGTACACATATTTACTGTAACTGCATCTATGATCTGTTGTATATTCATGTCATTTGTACAAGATGCACATTTCCCCAGAGCTTTAATTGATGGTTCTGAAGAGTTGTCAGTGTTTGAATCTTTGAAGAACATGATTGTAATAGATTATTGAATGATTATGAATTGTTAATTTGCTGTAGTTGTCTGATCTGGAGATGAATCTTCATATGTTGTTGGGGTGGGTAGTTTCTGCTGCATTTGGTTGGAAGTTGTTGATGTGATGTTGTTTGAATTACCACTTTCAGATGAAAGATTCATGATCAAGTTACTTAAGAGATGGCTTGAGAATCTGTTCAACATGACTTACTTACTTGATAGTGATGCTCTATATGAAGTTAGCTTTGTAACTATCATTATGTTCTGAATGAATTTGTGGATTGTCATTCTGATTATAGATGGGTCCAGATTTCAGTCTGCAGAATAAAATATGTCAGAGAGCTCTGATTCTGATCAAGTCAGTCATGAACTGTTCAGTGAGAGCACTTTCAGATTCTCTTTTGATATACAAGATTGATAAATGTTAGAGATTTGACTTTGTGGTAATGGTATCTCATTATTCTTGATGATGAATTCTGCTAAATGCTGGGTGCTGAGTGAAATTACTTGAGAGCTAGGGTTACTTCAGCTATAGTTAAGTATGTATTTAGCTATTTGCAATACAGACTTCAGAAGAGACTCAATAATTGATCTGATTTTGTTTGCTGGTTTCATTATTTCAGGGAATTTAGTTATTTAGTTGTTAAATATGTTTAGAGTTCATGTGTAATTTAGTAAGAAATTTTAAAATTTTGGGCTGCCCTTGAAGTCCCTGATCAAGCAAGACATGCTACCAGTTTGTTACCTGATCTATAAGAGCTATGGAATGTCTGTGCAATTTTGATTGAGTAGTAGAAGATGTCTTGTTCTTGTTCTCTTGAGCTTCAATGATAAGCTCAAGAATGACTAATTACTAACTAATCTACTTCAGTAAGTATGTACAGAAGGTTTCTTGTCACATATACATAAATCTTGATTAAATATAAAGTTTGATCTATAACTCTTTTTGGTTTAGTTCAAATCTTATTCTATAAAAGTTTATTTCAAACTTTATTTTTTAATAGAGTTACAGCAATAAGGTTACCACCATAGTATTGCTTGTATAAATTATTAATCAAGAAAAGAATAATAAATTGAGGTGGCAAATTACATCATAATATGATATTACATCATATAGAATATCATCATATGTGACATCATCAATAACATCATAGAATTCAATGTTGCATAGTTTATTTCCAAGATTAATAAACCATTGCACATTATATTCAACTTTAACAAGTTTTATAATCAGTTATACCAACTTTCTATAAATCTACATCATAGATATCCTGGTTTAGAGAAAGTATCAGCCACTGAAACCAGAATTTATAAAATGTCTCATATAATAATTCAGTTTTCTAAAAAGTATAACTACTTTTTACAAAACTATTGCAAGTATTGCACAATATACTGCATCATATTGCATCATACATTACATCACACATGATGTAACACTTATAAATCAAGACAAATATGCCATAACTTACATAACTCAAACTCTAAACTCACAGTCTATAAATAAGACCAAAATCCCCACTGCAAAATGTAATTAACAGAACAATTCAACAACTTCTTTGAATATTCATTGACTACTTCTTCTATACTATTGTTTTCTGAACTCTATTATCACTGTTCTCACTCTACTCATTCACCAAAACCCTATATATAACTATATACTTATATATTTATATATATTTATATAGTTATCAGTAAGTATATTCTACTAACTAAGCTTTTGTTGTATGAGCTTCTACTGCACATTGACTTGCTCACATATAAGTATGAAAGTGAGAAAGATAATTTATATTGCTACAATAATATTTAAAGTCTTTAGATATATTGTCACTGATCTTTATAAAGAAATGTTTGTAACAGATTTTATGTGCTCAGTTATGCTAATGAGATCATATAATTAGTCATAGAGTTTATGAATTTCAAATGACATAAAGCATGATCATTTAAGCATCAAGAAGATTTTACAAATCTCTTTTAAATAATGAAATAAATGTAAAATGGCTGCAGTGCAGAGTCTTACAATTAGTTATACTGAACTGTTTTCTATTCTTAATCTCAGAATCTCAGATCAGAATTTATTTAATTATAAGAGACAACTTCTTGCTTTTTTCCTTCTTTAATCTACAACACTCACTAACTCAACTGATTCTGTTTAACTGAAAAATAAAGCTCAGTCTTGGAAAAAATTTTTGTCATCATGATAAATAATTATTTTTAGTATTCATACACTGTATACTGAAGTAATTTAAATTCTTCATTAAGATTATGTGTTGTAAGCTTTTTTAATTTAGATAGATGCAATATTTATATTTAGCAGATACATAATACTTATTTCTTTAATTCTTAAAGTTTTTTTTTTTATATTTTTTCTTTTATTATTGCAAATAATAGTTTGGTTTTTTTCTTTTCATGCAAACTTCAATCATTAATATTTTAGTACTTTTTCTTTTCTATTTCCAAATTAACTCATTATTTAGATAAATGCTCTTCAGCTTCAAGAATCATTCTCTAATTGCTTTGTGAATACTATCTAACTTATAGAGCTATAGAAAGTCTGTAAACAATTTAACTGTTGTGAGAATTAAATAGACTGACTGTTAAAATCATCTTGAAATCTCAATAAAACAAGACTGAAAGTCAAATTTAATTGAGTTGATTTCAATCTCTTCTTAAAATTTACAAGTTAGTTTTAATTCTCTCTCAAAAGACTGATAAAAGTTCCATTCTCTTCTCAGTTTTAAATTTTATATGTTAAGTTCCATCTCTAGATTTCTTTATTTTTAAAACAACTTTAATTTTTTTTAAACTTTTTTTTGAAAGTGTATTTTTACATCAAAATATGACAAAATAGAAAAACTAGCACATTAAGTCAAAATGCATATATATATTTATATATGATTTTGATACTAAAAATAGTATATAATAAGATTTTATTTTAAGTTTAGAGAAATTGAAGATCTCTATTTTTAATTGAATAATTTCAATCTCTTTAAATTAAGTCTCATTCTCATCTTAGTACTTGAAACTCAAGTTTCAGTTCCATCTCAGTTTGAATCATTACATTTCAGTTCCATCCCAATTCTCCATTAGTGCATTAGAGATGGGATCTCAGTTGGGAAATTTCTGTCTCTGTGGTCAGCATAGAAAAATCTGAGAATGGGACTTAAAATATAAAATTTAAAACTGAGAAGAGAAAGGGACTTTTATTCATATTTTGAGCTGAAATTAAGACTAACTTTCAAATTTTAAGAAGAAATTGGGATCAACTGAACTAAAATTAACTTTCAGTCTTGTTTCATTGAAATTTTAAAGAGATTTCAATGATGAGTCTAACTTAAGTAACAGTCTCATTTCAGTTTGAACTGTTAAGTTTCAGTTCCATCCAATTCCCTATTAGTGCATTAGGGATGGGATTACAGTTGGAAAATCTCTGTCTCTGTGGTCAGCCTAATTTCAACTTTATAAAAAATAAGTAATTTTACGAAAAGTTCTATATTATTATCATAAAAAGAATGATATTTTTAAAAAAAAAAATTTTTCCATATAATAATTTTTTATCTATTTTTGAAAGATAAATTGCATCACTTATTCACTTTTCACAGTGTTAAATAAAATGATTGAGATATTAATTAATCATAGTTGAAGGACAGTGCTATTGTAAAGATGAAAACTGAGATTTTTAATGGATCTCGAAGAGAAATATAAATCCAACCTAGTGCTTCTTGGCATAGACCACCCTTGTAACTAGTTAGGTCAGAGAAGCCTGAGAAGGTTTGAGGTTATGAGGCAAATTTGTCCTCACAACTCAAGTATGGAGTAGTTCTTGTGAGTTCTGGTTCTGGACAAAGATTGTATATTCTGCATGAGTATTAATAGTGATAACGAGGCAGATACCAGATGCAAGATGGCAAGAAAACAAAAGGCCCAGGAAGACTTGGATGACTCTCCTGTCGCTTCCCGGGGACGCAGCAGAACAAAGTCACTCAATGGTCGACAACTAAACATCCGAAATAAAAATATGGGTCCACTGAAGACATCAGAGAAATCTGTGAGCGGCATATTATTGAATTTTTTAATAAGTTTTGCTCTTATAGCCGCAACCTAGATTGACAGATATAATTATAGGGTAATAGATCGAATAGGGACCTTCGCCAGAAGCTCCACACTCAGCATAGGGCTTTTGTTCGAAAAATGAATGGTGAAATACAAGAGTCTGTCCGATTGAATAGGCCCATCTCGTACGCTATCCTCCTGTTTCCAAGGTGACTATCTAACGCTTGAGGTAGTCTGGAATATAAAAAGGTACACTATACGCGACTGTCAGACCTCATTAAAAAGAAGGTAGAGATCGAAGCAAACATCATATCTCAGCTGCAGACGTTGCAGGATCTCTACGAAGCTGCTGGTAAAGCCACAAAGGCAGTGGTATTAGCAAGGATTTCTCGACTCCAGTAGACCATATTTGAACTTATGTTGCTTCGGAGCATCACCGCAGCGCCCTCAAGAAAGCCGTTAAGGTAGGGGCGTAGAAGAGTGGTAGTTATTTAGTATTCCGTGTTCTATAGTGCTGTTTCCGAAGTGACAAGTTGATCAATTCAGCAGCAAGAACCTGGTATTTATTACATATGTACATATGGACTGTAATAGAAGCAATGCAGTAACTTGTGGACTGATATCTCCTGCACTTCCTATGTCTCTTATTTCGAATAGCGCTTGCAATGTCCCCTGAGAAAAGGCTGGGTAAAAGGTCTACCCAAAGGTCTGGACAATCGCCACTACGGAGCACACAGTCTCCATTTTCCTCCATACATACATAGTTAACTGTAAATTAAGCCTTTTGACCACATTTAACTACAGATTTCTACGCACACCAAGTATATAAAGACAGAAATAATTACTCAAGCTTAAATTTTAACTGCAAAACTTATTAGAAACCCCGGTTGGTTGAAATCTTTTTTGACAACTGCAGCTCGTAGCCAGTTGGATTGGCATTGTTTGGCTCAACAGTCCGCTCAAAAGCTAGCCATGAAGATTAAATTCAGGTGAGTCACCTGTTGTGTGCGAACTTGGCTTGTAGGCTTGCAGCCTTGTAAATCTATGTTGTAGCTTCCCCAGGTTGAAATTTGCTTATCGGTTCTCAAGCGATGCTAACTTCGCTCATAGGAGCTTGGATCCATAAAGAGCTCACCCTAGGGGAATTAGCATTCCTCGAATATGTCGATACAGGTGCTGTGTAAAGATCAGCCTCAGCGCTGTATTACCCTAGTTACCAAGGATGGGCATGCGCTGGTTTTGGAATACTCATCAACTTTTTCAGAGCCGGCAGCGTCTTTGGGATCTTATCCAAATATCGAACAACCAAAATGCATCGTGACTTTTCTAAAAGCACCCTCCATCAACTCGCTCCAGTATCGCTGCCTTGGGACCGGGTATGGTACCCTAGGACTTCTCACTTTAAACAGTGATGTCTTTTTATGTGTTATTCGGAATTCAACCATGGTAGCAACGCCTCTACCCAACGAAACGGTGCGGAGAATTGAAGATGTGGACTTTTGTACGTTCGGTTTGCTATCGATGCCCGAAATAGTAAAGTTCTACTAATATATTATATTAGATTGTCTTAATCGCCCAGACTATGATATGATTATGGATGTTTATGGCCAATCCACAGAAGAGGGGTTTCTTGGTAACGCTTTCCAGGGACGAGATGCTGTTACAGAGAACCCTTTTCTCTCACTAAAAAAGCTCCTAAGCGATGGTAGTTTTTACTACAGTACAGATTTTGATTTGACGAGTCGTCTCCAAGATCGGTGAGCATGTTCTACTGGTATTGTTTCCGTGACATCTAATTTCCTTGACTCCAAGAATCAATGAGAAGTCCTTTGACGTTGAAAGGTTTGATAAAGATTTTCTATGGAATTCATATATGATTGATGCCCTGCTACAATTTAGAAGTGGGCTCACAGACCATGAGCGACAGCAACTTGATTCGTCTCAGATGATTACATTCGCCATTCGTGGTTTCGCTCGTAGTTTTGAAATTAAAGAATCCGATATCCTGGTTCAACACGGTCGAGAAAGGACCCAATCTTGCTTGACTGTGATATCCCGTTTATCATCGAGAAGAGCAGGCACAAGATTTAATTCCAGGGGTCTTGATGATGATGGGCAAGTTTCTAATTTTGTGGAGTCCGAAACAATCTTGTGGAACTCTTCGGGTATCACATTTTCTTTTACTCAGGTTAGAGGCTCAGTGCCGATATTCTGGGAGCAATCTGCTGTGATGGTGCCGGGACAGCAGAAGATCCAGGTAACTCGGTCTACGGCAGCCACTCAACACGCGTTTGATAAGCATTTCGATTCTCTCCAGCTTGACTATGGTGCAGTACACGTGGTGAATTTACTAAGTGAATCGAAACCAGGAGAAGTTGAGTTATCACAAAGATACCGCTATCATATGAATCATAGCCCCCTTAGGAAAGCACGTGAGGAAGGGACAACTTCTGCGCATCATCTCTTGCAGTGGACAGATTTTGACTTCCATGCGGAGACCAAGGGACCGGAGGGCTATGCCAGAGCTAAACTTATAGAGGATGAAATCGATGGCTCCATCGACGGATTTGAATACTTCCTATCGAATGCCCACGATGATACCCAGACAGTTGTGCTTCAACAGGGAGGGGTATTCCGCACAAATTGTTTGGATTGCCTTGACAGGACAAACCTTGTCCAAACAATAATCAGTTACATTGCATTGGAAAGATTTTATGAGCGAACCATGGGTATCACAATGATCGAATTCGACGCGGTACATTCAGTCTTATGGGCCGATAATGGTGACATGTTGTCGAAGATATATGCGGGAACCGGGGCGTTGAAGTCATCGTTTACCAGGCATGGTAAAATGTCGATAGCCGGTACGTTTGCTGATGTTAGGAAAACTTTCACCCGCCTGTACGTCAGTAATTTTGCCGATGACTCTAGGCAATATACAATAGACGTTCTGTTGGGCACTTTGACAGGACAAGCCGCAGTTCACCTTTTTGACCCTGTAAGCGATCTCGTTAGATCAGAGCTTGCTGGTAAATTAAGAGAGTTTACATTTACAAAGACGGTTCGAATATGGGCGGGAACGTTTAATGCGAACGGTTTACAATATAATCGCACCGAGGATCTTGGCGTGTGGCTACATGCCCACATCACTGAGCCTTCCGAAGAACCAGCTATAGTAGCAGTTGGCCTCCAAGAAATAGTCGAATTGAATCCGCAACAAATCATGTCGACTGATCCTGGAAGCCTCAAGACCTGGGAGGAAGAGGTGAGGAATGTACTCGACAAAGAGACTTCGCGAAGGGGAACAGTAGGGTACGTATTATTGAGAAGCGGGCAATTAGTCGGTGCTGCACTGTTGCTGTTTGTCAAACGCGATACACTGCCACAAATCAAGAACGTTGAAGGCAGTGTGAAGAAGGTGATAATCCCCTGGCAATACATATTTGGTAACCGCTGAAGGTAGATTTTAGACTGGATTATCTGGCATGGCAGGGAATAAAGGTGCATGTGCAATTCGCCTCGAACTCTCAAATACGCGCATTTGTTTTGTCTCAGCTCACCTGGCTGCCGGATTCTCAAACTATGAGGAGAGGAACAGTGATTACAATACCATCGCCCATGGATTAAGGTTTCAGCGTAATCGCTCAATCAGTGACCATGACGCTATCTTTTGGCTTGGTGACTTCAACTATCGCATTGGTTTGAGCGATGGCGAAGTGAGATCTTTGATAGACATGGGAAACCTCGATACGCTGCTTGCACATGACCAGGTGATTGTCCAATTCCGATATTTTAATTCCACATTGTGACCAATGGTATACAGCTCCTTATGCAAATGAGAATTGGTCACATTTTCCCAAACTACTCAGAGGGGCCTATCACATTCCTACCAACATATCGGTACAACAACGGAACCGACATATACGACACGTCGTGAGCTTCATCTTCCCGAGTTGTGAACATATGTATCTATACTTGAAATTGCTGATAGTCTTGAAGAGAAAAGCGTCGTGTTCCAGCGTGGTGCGACAGAATATTATGGAGAGGGAAAAACTTGCGCCAATTGGAATATAATACTGCTCCTCTCATGTTCTCAGACCATCGACCAGTATATGCTGTCTTTATATGTCCGATTCGCGTTGTGGATGAAGAGCAAAAGGAACGCTTAAGCCACGAGCTTCACGAAAAGTATAAGGTCACTAGTTCGCAGATAAACACAAGCGATACAGCATCGTCGACTATAGGAGCTTCCTCCACTGGTTCATATCATCGTAAGTGGTCATCTATATACCAAACCGGGAGCAAAATTTTAACCGAGAAAGAAAAACCGGTAACTTTTACCTTGAATTCATCGTCGGAAAATTCATCACTGTACGGGTGTGGCAGTAAGTCTCCGGCTGTGACTCCGCTTCGTCGAATGTTAATCAACGATCCGTTCGGACGACAACACGAGGATGTTCCTCTCATTCCGGGGTCAAATGAACCTAAACGGATTCCGGAAAAATCCCAGTCAGTAGAGGAGCGGCCACTAGTTGTTGTTTCAGATGCACCAAAGAGAAGGCCACCGGTACCAAAAAAGCCTCCAATGCTGGCTAATCAACTTCTGCCCAGGAATACATTTCGAATAAATCATAGCGAGTCGAGTCCTTCCTGCAGGCCCGTCCTCCCACCTCGGCAACAGGTAGAAATACGGCCGATTTTGCCAAGCCGACGTGCCCTGCCCCCAACACCTACAAACCGTCCTCTGCCCGTCTCACATGGCAAACAGCAGGAGAATAAAAGCAAGAACAATTCTACTGAGCTTCTTGACCTCTGTGTTGATTCTGACCTCCTTGAATGGGTGCCCCTTGAGCCAGGAAGATGATACTCTTTTAATATATATCCATATGGGAGCGTATGTCTGTGGATCCAGAACATTTTTGACCACATGGAATGTTCAATTACATGCGTGGAATTAAAATACATTTGCCCTCAGCCCCGCTGGCAGAACCTTGTAAAGGCTTGTGTGAAATATGGCGTGGTATGCTGGGGTATGATGGGATGTCAAATGATATAGATATAAATTCTGGGTATCAATGCTTCGATAGAAGCCAAATTCCCATAAGGAAAATAGGAAGCCGCTACCCCTTAAAACGCTGTCATAAAAGATCACCGAAATCAAGTCGACGTGCTGTACTCTTGAAGCGTTCCTCATCGATTTCCCCACCTCTACGGCTCAAGTCATCACCCATCTTCTCCACCCCTCCACTCTTGCGAGGAAGCTTTTCTTTTTTTGTCGGCTTGGGTTCTGATAACCACCAGGTATGTTGCAGTATCTGTTTTGCAGTGCTGCGCTTCCTGGGGTCAAGTTTCAGCATGGAGTATAATAAATCTGCGCCTAAAGGGCCTGCAGTGGGAAATTGTCGAAGAAAGAAGTCTTTCCCTTGTAGTGGGATGACATCATTTTCTTCAAGGGGCATGTAATTAGGCAATTTTGTCACTCCTGGCCAGTTCTCTTCAGTTGGAGTCCCAAATGCAGCGCATATTTTGAAAATCTGATCCAAATCCGAATTCCCAGCAGCAAAGGGGACACGAAGGAGTAGCTCTGCAAAAACCATTCCCATGGACCAGATATCTACCCCACCCGAGTAGTAACGTGCCCCATATAGGAGCTCAAGGGGTCGGTACCATCGCGTTATTACCTGATGAGTCATGTTAAAACGAGGATCTGCAAATGACCTGGCAAGGCCAAAATCAGCAAGTTTGACCTCGCCGTCTGATGCAATTAGTAAGTTGTTCGGTTTAATGTCTCTGTGTAAAATGAAATTTTCGTGACAGAACCAGACACCACGAGCAAGCATGCCAATCCAAGCCTTCACGTCAGCAGTGCCATACTGAATGGAGCTGTCCTTGATCAACATTTCTAGGTCGCCAAGCGGTAGGTACTCCAGAACCAAGTTTAAATTGCGATCCTTAGATGAGAATACAGCGTGGAGCGCGATTACATTGGGGTGCGATAATTCTTGGAGATATTTCACTTCACGAATCGCATCCATGGAGAGCCCATCTTTATATTCTGTATTGACTTTGATCTTTTTAATTGCGACAAGCGACAGAGGGTCTTTGCGAAGGTGGCCAAGGTATACAATGGCATATGTACCTTCCCCTAACTTCTTATCTGTTACAAGGTTAGAGATTATCTATTAGGAGGTGGAGAAAAATAATAATCATACCTTTGATATATCGATGGCGAACCTCTGCATTAAGCTGCTCGGAAAGTTCTAGTTCTGCGTCGCCTGCTATTTCTCTGGCAAACTCTGGTGCAGATGCAGAGGTTGCCTCCGTTGCTGTTTGCCGCATTGCCAGTGGTTTAATATGGGACGCTGTAGGTGATGTTGCATTGGCTACATTCAGCGAGACAGCCATTCCGAACCCAGTGTCGGATGCGGGCGGGGATATTCACTGCGTATGATACTGTGGAGCGGAAAATAAACCTAACTTCATAAGCCTTTCGCAGCCTATAAATAGGCCGGTTTATATGTGCATAGCTGTCAATTTTGTTGTTTAACTCAATTATAGATAGCTTCTCAACCACAAGCTTAGGGTGAGGAGGTACGGGAGTACGGAGTATGGATCAACTAACTAGGTAGTTAGTTAGTTTAGAAGTTAATATTCTAGGCAAAGTACGGAGTACTTAAGTTAACCACTAGTTAACTAACTACATCATACTACTACGCGTCTAAACGCATCGAAATGAAGACTTGGCCGCAACTGAATCTGTTGACCACTGAACACATTCCTGGATTCCCTTGAACGCCATTTTCTTATCAGTTATGACATTGGCTGACTCTAGTGGCTCACTGCTCCTTTCCCTCCGTGCACAGTTGAAGGAATGGGAGAAATCGTTCTCGGATGCTCATGGCGGTCGCAAAGCTACTCGTGACGATATCAAGCAAGACTTGTCTATAGGTGAGTTCTTCGTGTTGGATAATGAATCCTCTGCTGAAGTTCAACCTGCACAGCTGCGAAATACAAAGAATATTCACGGTTACGATGTTCTGCCAACAGGGCATCTCATGTGGCGGTTCTCTTTGGTGATCCAATCCAGGGCCATGTCCAGAGGAAACGCCCCTATCCATTTGCGACCACTACAGACTTGGCTGGAGGCGATATTGCTACTCCCCAAAAGGTTACAAAATTTACAAATTCTTTTCAAAGCACCGAAATCCATAAACACCACCCGTGCCAACTTGACCCATACGAATCACCTTCGAATGCAAGAAACTTGTCCGGTCGAACCCACCCGAACGTAGCTCCTGTATTGTTTCGAAGTGCAATAGCGCCTACCCCTCAACGTGATGGCAAAGTGCTAGGTCTTTTTGATCTACTTTCACCATTGGGAGGTGGCATCACTACTCCGTCTTCCCAACGAAAAACTCACGCGAGTGTCTATGAAGCACGCACACCTTCTTCATATGTCAACGGGTTTATGACTCCTAGGCGATCCGATGTTCGCGCACGAAGGCATTCCTTAACCCCGGCTTCCTCTGCAAAGAAATTTTACTTTTCCAAGTTCTTTGCGACGCCGAGGATGGAATCGTGTTGCGAGGCCCAAGAAGCCAACGAGGATCAGGACGCTGAAAATAACCTCAATCCATCGTGTTCATTGCGGAAGACAGAGGGGTCAGAATTCGAAACTCCCTCGTTTCTCCGTAGAAGGAATGTACTTTTCCCCAAGCGAATAGACCAAGATAACAAGAACGCAAGAGACATGAGCCCTACCTCAGTGCGAATGCCTCAGCGATTGGTTGGCAAGGGGTTGAGCCAACTGGTTCAGAGTCTACGGGAATTAGAAGAAGAGTCAATGAAAGATGACATGGAGGCTTTGCGTGCAGTCGAAGCTCTCGAGGGTGGAACAGAATTGGCCCATGTTGAAGACGGGCATCCTATTGATACATATACAAATGATGTTGACATGAGTTCTTCGCCGTCCAAAACTCGAACACCATGGAAAAGAAGAGGTCAAAAGAGAGCAACAAAATTGGTATATCTGCGCCCTGTGCGCGGCAAGTCACCCAGCGCTTCACTACCTGTGAAGGATAGCGAAGATGAACCTGCCCCTAACGTGGGATCGCAAGTTCCCAATCTTACCAGAGCGAAAAGCAAAGATACTAAGTGCAAGCATGAAGCCCCCGGAGAAAATAAGTTAGTGCAAAGGGTACAAAAAATAAAGGAGGTGGCACATGCTAACTATCGCGCATTAAAAATCCGGAGTAAGAGCAGGAAAGACCAGGGCCGGTTTAAACGAAGAAGGTAAAGGTAAAAACCCAAAAAATTAGGGTGTTCTGACGATTTATGTTATAACCGACAAGTGTGGCATTGATAGGCGGATAGATTTTAAATAGCTTGCTCGTGTTAGTCGCCGAATTGATTTGGAGATCGCTTTTCAGCACGTCGAATTCCTATAGGGAAGAAAGAGCACTCCGTACTTCGGAGATGAGCTTTCTTTATGTGAATTCTTCATTAAGCCAATTCGGAATTTCCCCAATTAACGCAATGTTGGATACGGTGGATAGTAGGAATAGGTGGTGTTGCGATTTCATCGTATTGCGTTGCCATATCCCAATCTTGTAGCAAATTGAACGGGCTACGTAGCCATGCCTGCAGCTCATGTAAAAACAATTGGGCGTTTCGCTTTCCAAGGAATTCTTGTAATATTTGATGTGCCTGACCCCCGTTGCCCCTAATATCTATATTGCGCAAGATTGCGATGATAAACTCCAGTAAGAATTCAGAGTTTTGAGTACTAAAGTTTCTTTGAGGGGCATTTGGTACGTTGATATTGCTTTCAGTTCGTTGTCGTGGACCCTGGCTATCAAGGCCGAGAAAAGTGAAGACTTTTAATTCCCTTCTAATCCACTTTCTCGCACGGGACACTAGGTTTTCGTCACTATCAAAGGATTGAGGAGTAATTTCGCGGTATTGTGAAAGGGCGTTTGTTCCGACACGCCGAGAGTATAACGTGAACTGATATACATGACGTCGACGCACTAATGGGTCCTCAGGCGGTTGCGGCTGTGGTAAACGAGGAGTAAGCGTATTTGACAGTGGCGGCAAAAGGTAAGTACTGGCTAGCTCGAAGTCATATTTGACAGCAATCACCTCCGCCTGACCTACATAGCTCACGTTAGAAACCAAAGGACCTGTAACTGAAAGGGATTTGTGGTTGGGTTGCACTTACATAACGGGCAAACGCGGCGCTGCTGCAACCAATTTACAAGGCAAAGGAAATCGAAGTTTCCATGCTTACATGGTGTCGCTACCCCAACATCCCGAATCTCTTCCAGACAGATTACGCAGAGGTTCTGATTTCCATCTATGATATGGTCAAGGGTACCATGAAAAGAAGGCCGCTGCAGCCCCAGCTCGCATGCCATATAATACCATCTGTAGTGGATAGGTGAGGGTCTTGAGATGGTATATCTATGTTTCTAGTACAGCGTATGTTATGTAATGTAAAAGCAAAACTAAGTTAGTATCAGACGAAACAGGAGCACGTGACAATCATGTGACTGAGAGTCTATCATATTGCGTCTGGGCAGTTGTTGTTGTTGTTGTTGTTATTCATTATTTTTCATAGACTCTTATGGAGTCATAGACTATGAAGAGCCACTCTCCCTAATCTGATTTAGTTACAGCATGTGTTATTCTTGATATCTGGGCTCCCACCACTTCATTCTGTTTAAGTCTCAAACTATAGCATGTTCAGAAGGGGTCAAGATCTCTTATTTGACTTTTCACCAAATTCTTCTCTTAGATCATACTCTCTAGGGAAATCCTCACAAAACCTAGGATGTAGCTGATATATCTAAACATGACAGAAATCAATAGAAAATCAGAACAAGATGTATAAGATCACACTAAGACTGACAAGCTCAGTCTATTAACTTAATCTAGCATATGCTTATGTAACCCCATACCACCACTCAGTCTAAACTTTTCTAGTTCCCAGCAGTCAATAATCTTGTCTTCTAGAGAGAACTCTCTCCACTCAGAGAAGAGACTTCTCTGTTGGTAAAATACCATTTGAGAATAGCAGAATTCAAATCCACAATCTTCTTTCTCAGATGATTGTTCTCCAAAAACAACAAGCCATGCCAGAAGGATTTCTGCAGACATTTACCAACTACACCATACACTCTCCCCTCATCTGGGCAGTGGTACTTATAGACAAACATACTATAATCAAGACTATGGGAAAAACATATGAAAAACCCCTAGCAAACCTCCACCAGCCTGATAGTCAAAGATAATGAAATCAGTACCATGGTCAAGAAGAGAAGATGGTGAATCTATGATTCTTCAGTTTCTTCTTTGAGAATTTGATCATCTGACAAGTCATCTGACCCTGCTCAACAACCATACCAGAATTCCAGATCTGTGAAATACCATAATGTTATGGTAGTGGCAATGTAACCACTATGTAGTAACTCAGCACAACATTGAAACTACAATTGTGTAATATTACCTTTGTTTGATTGCCACAACTTCAGTTGATATTCACAACATTGTCTTGCATAGAGTTAATTGGAGTTAACTTGGTTAAGTGTATCTAACTTTAGTAATGTTTTGTATTGGAGTACAGCTAGCTATTTCTACCACAAGTACAATTACACCTACATACAAAGAACCTTCCAGAAAATTTCTAAGTCCACAAAAACTATGAAAACAGTAGTAGAAATTGCCTACTAGTCTACTAGATAGGCTAGTAGAATTGCCTGCTAGCCTAGCTAGTAGGATTGTAGAGAATTGCCTACTAGTCTAGCTAGTAGAATTGTAGAGAATCACCTTCTAGCCTAGCTAGTAGAATAGTAGAAATCATCTACTAGCCTAGCTAGTAGAATTGTAGAGAATCACCTCCTAGTCTAGCTATTAGAATAGTAGAAATTGTCTACTAGCCTAGCTAGTAGAATTGTAGAGTAGAAAATTGCATAGGCTTCTACTGTAGAAGAGAGTTAGTGAGTGACTTAGAGATTTGAAAAAGATGAATGAAAATTTTTCATCTGCTGATCATTTTCTTATTAGATTTAAAAACATTGGTATTATCATATAGTAGATTCAATATAGTGAGCTCTTACTATGTAGTAGTCAAAATATGTAGTAGTTACTGTAGCCAACATTGAAACTATGAGATGGTGGTAATGGTTAATGTAATTTCTCACCAAACACTCAATCTCATCCAACAATCACTTCTTATGAAATTACCACTACACCTTCAAAATATGATTTTTCAACAACCACATAGTAAAATTAATTAAGCTATTAGTTACAGCAAGTAGGAAAGGAATAAAACATAGAAATTAGTATGATTAATCCAAAAATTGATGAAATGATCTAATAGCTCAATCTTTGCACATGACTGGCATTTCTGACTTCTTGAACTCTGAAGCAATTGCAAAATCTTGCTTTGATGTTTGAGAGCTCAATTGTAAGCTTGTTAGAGCTGTAGAGAGCTTTTCTAAAGTCTTTTTGAATATTACAGACTCTGTAGAATGTGTAGATAAAGTAGAAGTCTCTGACATCAGATCTTTTTGACAGATCTTCTGCACAGTCTTTTCTTTCTAAGTTCTTTTGCACTGTAGAGCTCATTCTTTCTTTGCTGTCTGTTTCAGAGCTTTGCATGTCTCTATAGTATTTTTTTCAGTCTGTCTGTGAGCTGCAGCTGCAGCTTTATTCATCTCTTTTTCAAGTCTTTTTACTAGCTGTTCTTCTTCACAAATTGCACACTGCTCAGTGTGCTTAGCAGTCTGATTCTCTCTTAATACAGTCAGTTGAACCTTCTTTTATTTCTTCTGTATTCTTTTATTCTTCTTCTTCTGCTCATTTTCTATGATTTTGGCTCTCATTTCTGCAATCTTTGAAGAAGAAAAGAATTGAGCTTTATCAGCTTGTTTGAAGTTAAAGAGACTCAATGTGTAAGACTTCATGCTGCAGTCTTCTTACATTCATTTCATCATTCAAAAGAGATTCATAAAATCTTCTTAATGCTTAGATGATCATGCTTCATGGCATCTGAAATTTGTAAACTTCATGACTGATTACATAATCTCATTAGCAAAGCTGAACACACAAAATCTGCCACAGACACTTCTTTATGAAGATCAGTGACAACATATTTAGAGACTCTAGATACTATTGTAGCAATATAAGTTATCTCTCTCTCTCTCATGCTTAGATCTCTTTGTAACCATCTCTCACCAAATCTAATCTCATTTACAAAAACTGTAAGTTATTGTCACATTATCTGCAATCTCTCAATTCTCACAGTTTGTCACTTAAATAAGCAGGTGGCCCAACAATGATTTTCACAAGACAGAATAACTGAGACCAAACTGAATTCTCAACTCTTTTCTCAGTATCAGAGTTAGCTGAGACACTAAGTGCAACAATAAATCTGAATGAAAGCATAATTCAGACTAAGAAATCATCTTCAGAGAATACAGAATTTCTTGAGAACTTAAGAGAGTGAATACATTTTATGAAAAGAATTCAAGAACTACAGCAGAGTTTACAAACTCTGAATAGAAAGTATGAGTGAACAGAATCACTTAATGTTCTGATCTCTAATTCAAATTCTTCAAAGAAGAGTTCAGTCATCAAGTCTTCACAACATAAGATCAACTATTAGATCAAGAACTATGCAGTCTACTGACAGTTTATCTTTCAAATAGAATTCATTCAAAATGCTAGTGGTCTGAATGACAACAAAATTCTGAAGTATGCAGTCACAGAGTTGAACTATAATGAGAAGAATCTTTGAAAATCACACTCAGCTCAGAACTCTATTCTGAACATCTAAACTGAACTTAAACAATTTCTACTTTTACAACTAGATGATTCTGAAAACTGAATTCAATTAGTCTGAAGAAACCTTTTTCATCTTCATAAAAGAGATGATGAATCAGACTTTGACTGATTGCAATGATTTCAACAACATTTGCAACAAGTAAGTGAAGAGACACAGAGTGTGAATAAGTTCATCAAACATCTTTTTCTATGGCAATATGACAAATCTATGTGCAACAAGCTGAATGAACAGAAGAATCTCACAGAGAAACTGAATGAGATTCAGACAGTTGCAATGCAATTATGATCTAGTGTCAAGAGTTCCACTCTCAACCCAAAGTCACAATTCATCTCAGAGATAAATATCAACTGTGGTGGAACACCATTCTATTCAAATTGAGCCCATGAATCACAAGATTAGAATTATAGAAACAAGATCTGAATCTCATCACAACAGAAAGAAAATCAACATCAGAGAATCTTCAATTCTCAGTTTACAAACTCAAAGTGGAGAGAAAAATCAGATAAGAATGCTTGCTACAATTGTGATGAGACTGATCACTATGCAGATAAGTGCATTAAGTCAAAGAAGAAATAGAGATTTGAGAAGCAGTCTGTAGATAAAATGAATATTAAGTAATTGAAGTTGTCTGAACTACAAGCTGTTCTCTCAATCACATTGTCTGTCAGAGTTCATAACTCTGAGATAGAAAAAGAAGTTAAGTGAACTACTGTAACAGACTCACTATGTTTCTTTCTGATCATAAGTCTGAAGCTTGCAGTAAGACTGAATCTGAAGATTCATAAGATGAATGTTGAGATGAAGACTGCAGAAAAGAATCATTCAAAATTAGTATCTGAAGAAATTATAAACATTTTCTTTGAGACACAAAATACTATGAATAATTGATAGATGTTTAATGAGCAAGCATTGATTGCTGATATATCTGAGAATATAATGTTAGATCTCTTCTGACTACATCATCATGATTCTGTTGTTTCATTTGAAAATCTGTCACTTAAGTTTCATAAACAGAGTGGATTAGACTCTATGACAAAAATCAAGTCAGTTTCTCTAAATGAACTTGTCAATGGTGGAAAACTCTTCTATGTAATGAGGGTTTGTAAAAATGAACAAGTCACCATCATGAATGTGAATCTGCAGATATCAGACAGTTATAAAGATTTGATTGATGCATTCAGTAATGCAAAAGATGCTTTCTTGCTCTCTCATCAGAAGAATGATCTAGACATTGAGTTATTGCTGAGAGTAGTGTTAAAGTTTGACACCATTTATTGACTTTCAGAAACAGAAACAGAGACTTTACAAGAGTATGTCAACTCCATCTTGTCAAGTGAATTTATCAGATTCTTCAGATCATCAGCTGGGTCACTCATTCTGTTTGCAAAGAAGAAGAATGGAGGGTTACAAATGTGTGTGAATTATTGAGACTTAAATTCAAAGACAGTAAAGAATCAATATCCACTTTCACTGATTGAAGACATTCTGAATCAGATTGGAAAAGCTAAGATCTATACCCAGCTGGATGTGAAGAATGCATATCATCATTTACAAATAAAAAAGAGAGATGAATGGAAAA